ACCTACGAGTCCTCTGTTTTGGTGTTGAAACTACTTTTTTGGCTTTCCATTGATGGATATCTACGTTTTCATTATTTTGTTAAAAGAACAGACCAAAACAAAGACTCTGAAAGCCACAATCACCAACTTAGTTAGAGTGAGAATCACTAAATCATAACTTTGTGTAAATTTAATTTTATCAAATCAACAACTTTAGTACTGATAAAAGAAAGGTTGGGGTAAAAGCAAAAGACTAATCATTTTTTCACATTATATAGTAAAAGACAGGCTAATAGACAAACCCACAAAACAGAAAACCAAGACACTATTAGTTAGTATACTTTCGATCTTTCTACACATAATCTTCATCTCCAAGCTTGTAGGAACTGAAATGCCGGACCCTAAACTTCCACTCGACATTCACAGCATCGTAAGACACAAACCGAGCTCCTTGTTCCTCGGCTTTCCTCTTGAGCACTTCCTTATACTTGTCCAAGCTCGATACTTGTTCCTCGGCTTTCTTCTCCATTCATCCTGGTGACGGGGAGAACAAACTGAAATGAAACGAAATGCTTGACCCTAAACTGAGCTCCTTGTTCCTCGGCTTTCCTCTTGAGCATTTCCTTATACTTGTCCAATCTCAATCCTTCCGTCACTTGCTTTTCTTGTCCATACATTTTATATTCAGCAAAGTTACTTCCGCATGGCTTATTCAGTGCTTCACCAACTGGCGGTGGCGGTTTTCGGCTCTCGTCCATGAACACAATCACTTCTCGGGTATTGAACTGAACCAACGTTTCCAGGTCGAGTTGAAGTGAACATCCGTCTCTCATGGAAGCCTTTTTTGCAATTGAAAACTAGGCTCCAATCCTGCAATAAATAAGCTAACGAAATGTAAATAAGCAAGCTTACCATTCTCCTGCAGCGGGGTCGGTTTATCCTTTGGCGGTGCTCAAACAATGCTCTAGGGTTTTCCCTTGGAATGAAAAGGGTATCAGCCTTTGGTGTATTGGAGTTCTCTTCATCACTGAAGAATGAAACCTGAAAGGACATTTAAGAAAGTAGAAAAGAACCTCAGTAACAGGCGTAAAGACTGCAGTTGTATTCAATTGCAGGCCAAAATTTCAGAAATCAGTAAACATGCCTTTGGATGTCCAAAGGGAGAGTTGCTTGTAGTTAAGGATGGAGAGCTTGAAAACATACATATTTTCAAATCCAGTGGAAGGTGTACTGAAATTGTTAGGCTGGGGAAATGCAGGATTGGTATTCTGTACAGACAGAGAACTAGTCCAAATAGCTAAACAGGGGAGATGACTCTGATTCTTGTTAAAATTCCCACCCATGTTAAATGCTGGAGTTGAGCCCTGTGCAGGATTTGTTAGACCAAACCCAGTACCAGGAGATTGACCACCTAGAGAACAAGAGAATCAATATTTTCGTAAATAAAGTACAAACATCTAACCTTAAAACAGATATAGATAGTAGCTTCCCAGCAGGTTGGTTACCACCGCCCTGCTCTGCCTCAGTTGTAGGTGCATAAGTCATGACCCTACTACCCACCCGAAAGTCGACTGACCCCCTTGAACACATGGAGCAAATCTACAAGGGAATGTATTCGTCTATCTTGTTCATCAGAGCCCGAGGAATAGGATTTCCCCTGAAAGATTCGAACAAAAAGAAAATCGGTAACAGTGAGCTCTTCGAGAGCAAAAGCAAATGGAAACGGAGTTATGAGGATAGGTGAAGAACACTTTAAGAAGAGGGTACCAGTTTTCCAGACGACCAGTGACATCCTTCTTCCTTTGGCGCAGAACATCGACAAAAACTTTCCATTCTGGTGGAATATTCAACTCCTCATGACCATCATTCGCATTCAACAACTCAGGACGTTTGACTTGTGGATATGGCAGTGAATGAAGGTTGCGTAGTTGTTGTCCCAGAAAGGAAGCCAAGTTGTGAGCGTCATTCCACGTCAGGTCATCTCTTCTGCAACAACAGCTTAAAGTTAGAGATCATGCATTTGGTTTCGAAGACGAGTCCCGCATAGATGAAATAAGAGAAAAAAGAGCACTCACAATATCTTCCCTTTGCATCTTTTTGTTACAATATACGGCCGTACATGCGAACTCAATGAACTGAAAGAATCAGATGGTGGCCTCCCCTGGTTTATATGTGTTCACGTAGTGTTTTGTTCCAAATACCAAATGGGAATTGACTGTTTAACATTGCTGCATCAAATTCAAGATTGGAGCTAGAGATAATTTCTGGGACAACTTTGCAAGATCCTTTTTTGAAGAAAAGAATCCCGCTTGCTAGAACATCAGGGATACGAGTTTTCAAAGTAGAATCTGTCCGACGCAGGCCTGATTGGTAGGATGTGAAACCAGCAAATAAACCAATATTAGAAATCTCTACATAGCTCAAAAGGCAATGAAAGAAATGTCAACTCTGAAGAATACAAGCATCCAGATTAGTTGAAAAGAAAGTCACCGTTGTTTGACCAAAGGGAGAGTTGCTTGTAGTCAAAGGAATTGTTCTATGAGGAATAGTAATAAGCAGAGCAAAACGCAACACACAATACTGGAAAAGTTTTAAGTTTTCCAATTTTGAATTATTAGTTCGAAAAGTAAGTAACACGAATCCATATCAACAAGACTTGTTATTTTTCTCAACAGGTCCATGTAAAAATGTTTATGCTTTTTTTCTTTTTTCTTTACAATAAATTTTTCTTGATTAATGCAACACCAATTATAGCAACGACGTTGTATAGAGAAACTTCATTTTTCACGTGATTAGGATTCAGCCATCGAATTATAACGGACAGCAGATCACATATGCGATCATAATCACGTTAATTAATGGTTAATGGTCTCAGCTGAAGTATATAATATGCTTTTGAGATTTGAGTTTTTCAACATGTTCCCTTTTAAACAATCTTATTTTATCGGTAATAGAAAATAACTGTTACTAACCACAAAGATAAATATGCAATCTCTAAAGTTAAGAAGAACAACAATTTAACGAAATTTTTTTTTAAGAAGTTACGAACAACGTCTGGCTCGAGAAGAAAAGAGGGATTATAATTTTTTAGAAAATGATAAGCGCCCTAGATTTATCAGCAGATCACAGATGTGATCAAACTAGAGTGCTAAATTTTTATTATAAATCGAAAACAACTCAAATTTATTACATCCCAACAGTTATATGAAAAAGAAAGAATAGAAAACAAAAAAATATTTTGCAAAACAAAAAATAATTGTCAAACAAAAACAAAAACAAAAACTTGAGTATTAAATTTACGTTGTCTTGCGTTGACAAAACGAATTTGATTCCCTTAACAATCAAAAGACATGATTCCAAATCCCGATGGTTTTTACAATTATATAACTTTAACACTTAAATCTTTTTAATTAAATTTTAAAAAGTAATTTAAAAGTGAAAACACATCATTATAAAAAAAATTGAGTGCTAAATTTACTTTATGTTGTGTTGACAAAACAAACCTCATACCGAAAACCATCAAAGACATCAGTCAAAGACAAGATACCACGTTCGAAATGTTTTCACAATTATATGAATTTAGCACTTAATTTTTAAAAATTAAAATCCAAATTTCTTCAATTAAAATTTTAAAAAAATAATTTGAAAGTTAAAACAAATTATTATCAAAAAAATTGAGTGCTAAATTCACTTTATGTTGTGTTGACGAAACAAACTTGGTACCTCTAACGATCAAAACCCCGGGTCAAAGACAAGAAACCACGTTGGAATGATTTTCACAATTATATGAATTTAGCACTCTATTTTTCTCTAATTAAATTCCAAAAAAAGGGTGAACACAAAACTTAAAAAACGTTTTCAAACCAAAAATAAATTAGAAAACTTATGTTTTCACGACTGTGATAGACTTTGTGTTACTGAAGCTTTGTACCAATGAGATTTGCTATACTCACATCTAC